CTATTTCAACTTACTGTGACAGAGAGGATACTACACAGTTTCCAGGGTCCATCTGTAAAAGCAGATGCAGCTTCTACTGTGTGACAGTGCTCACTTTTTTTTTTTTTTGGTTTTGGTTTTTCTCCGGTACCGGGAACCGAACTCACGACCTTGCGCTTGCCAGGCAGGCGCTTTTGCCGCTGAGCTAAATCCCCAGCCCCTGACAGCCTGAGTTTTATAACAAGACCCTGTCTCAATAGATGGATGGATGGATGGATGGATAGATGGATGGATGGACAGATGGTCAGACGGATGGATGAGAGATGCAGTTCAGTGCTAAGGTCCTGGGTTTAATTTCTAGTATTAATAAGAGGTATTAGTCTACTGTAGATGCTTGACTCATGACAGATGCTTGACCTGGTAAACTCACCGTGAACTGAAAACACATGTAAGGTGAAAATGCATTTAATACATCTAATCCACTCAATGGCATAGCTTAGCAATGGAGTACACTGTAAAGTATCAGCTATCGACTTACATGGTCAGACAGCTGACTAGAAGCGGTGGCCTGCTGCCTCTGCCCTGCACGGCAAGAGAATACTGCAGATTGCTAGTCCAGAAAAAGCTCAAAATTCAAAACTCTGGGGTATACAGTCCAGTGGTGCAGTGCATGCCTAGCATGTGTGAGGCCTTGGGTTCAATCCCTAGAACAAAACCTAACTAGAATCTACTCATTTTGTGCTCCCTCCCACTTATTTTTAGATAATACTGGAGACTGAACCCAGGGCCTTTGCACTGAGCCTCCCTTAGCCTTTTTAAGTTTGTTTTGAGATAGGCTGTCGCTAAATTGCCCAGGCTGGGCTTGAATCTGCAATTGATTCTCCTGTTTCAGTCTCTCAGTATGCAGCACCACACCCATCACATTTGGTGCTTATTAATCACACAATAAACGGTGGCTGCTTCTCATTTGGACTTTACTATTCACCAGCGTTTTTACTGGGGGAGGAGGTTAGACAAGGTCTCACTAGTAGCCTAGGCCAGGCTTGAACTCTTGATCCTCCTGCCTTAGCCTCCCAAGGGCCCTACAGTTGCGTCTACTAAGACTAAGAACTAGGGAAAAATGGTTGCTTTTCACTTTCATACCTTTTGCACTTCATAAGCATATATCCTTTGGTTTGTTTTTTTTTAAGACAGTGTCTCATTATATAGTCCAGACTGGACTTGAACTCATGGTGGACCTGCTTCAGCCTCCCCACTGCTAGGATTACAGATATGCACCACCACACTCAGCTTATTAATCAGTTATTTAAAGTGGCAATTTTAAAGATTTTTAAGTCCCTCTTATACAAGCAATACATACTCACTTTAGAAGATGTAGAGCTCATGGAATAATGAAAAGATGTTGTACTCATAGTTCTTCTATCTAAAGACAACCATTTTAGTCTACTTCTATTTATTCTCTTTTTCTATGAGAAATGGTGATTTCCCGAAATTGTTTTTCCAACCCACCTGCTTCATTCTCACTCTACTTTACCCATGGGAAGCAGAAGACATTACAGGACGCTGATTATTCAAACGCAGCTCCACTGGGGGTGGGCCTGTCATGGAGCCATAAGGCCTGAGGAAAGTCTCAGGTTCAAAGTCACAGGCATTTGCTTACTAGCCCCAGTTTTTTAAAGATGAAGAAAAGTGCAAAGTTTGTGCCAGCAAGCACTAAAGAACAAGATAAATGAGAAGGCTGTCCCTATCAGCTGGGCTCAACGCAGACTAAGGTACAAACGCTGGGCAGGACAGTACGCCGCTCCAGGGTGGCTTAGGGATGGCAAACAAGACGGCAGGCAGGAGTCAGGCACTGTGCTGCGCGCCTGTAATTTCAGCACTCTGGCAGGCCGAGGGATGAGGGTCACAAGACAGTCGATATTCACCTTCCACATAGTAGTGGACCTAGTGCAATCTTCTGAAGACAATTTTTTCCTCAGTTCTCACTGCCTTGAACCCTTGCCAATGAGCAGTTTTGTAACATGCACAAGAAAACTAAAATCACATAGTGGAAAACTCCATCCCAAATCCCTCAGCTGCAGGCTGGCTCCTGCCTGGGGATCTGTGGCCTGCAGCTCCAGCGTCTGCACAGATGATAGCATTACCGGGTGGCTTCTTGGCAGAAAGGGCTATTAATATTTTGAAAAGGCTAGTAGGGATTTTATAAACTGCCGCAGACAATGAAATGTTTACCATCTTTCCTAGCCTGATGAGAAAGAGGGAAGGTTGACAAGTATGTAAAACCCAGCTGTCTTCGAGAGCTTGTTTGGAGGTTCTAGCAGGGGCGCGCAGCTACTTGTACATCCTTGACTGAGGAAACGGCTCCCCTTCTATTGGGGCTGGCTGCCCTCTTCAACAGAGCGCTCAGCTTTGGAGGGATGCACACCAAGTGGTGAGGAAGGGGACAGCCGCATAGCCAGACCTGGTGATCCACGGGGTAGCATGCATCGCAGTCAGACTGCCCTCACATCCCCCAACTATCCTCCAAGTGAAGAAGGCAGGGAATGGGTGGGAATCAACTCTTCAAGAATTCTCTATGAGTCTTAGGCAAATTTTCATAATAATTCTTTCAAGAAAATACATTTTTTCTTTGAGACACAGTCTCGCTCTGTAGTCCAGGCTAGCCTTGAACTCACTATGAAGTCCAGACTGCCTCAAACTTGAGGCGATCCTCCTGTCTCAGCCTCCTAAGTACTAGGATTACAGGCATGCACCACCACGTCTCGCTTATATTCATTCTTAAAATGAGAAACTTAGGCTCGGAGAATTTAAGTTTCCCAAAATCTTACGTATCTAAGGAACAGAATAAGGATTTTCTTTGTTTATTTTGTTCTTTTGTGGGGGGGGTGTTTGTTTTGTTCTTTTGAGACAAAGTCTCACTATGCAGCCCAAACTGGACTTTAACTTTAGATCCTCCTGCCTCAGTCCCCCAAGTGCTGGGATTACAGGTGTGCCACCATGACTGGCTATGGTAAGAATCTGAAAAGCTTAGCTTTCCCATACAATACCATAATGTCTATGCTAAGCCCTACCTGCTGGTTATAGGAACCTGGGCAAGTTCCTTCCTCTCTCCGACACTGTGGCATCCTCTTACCTGCAGGTAAAGGCAATGGATGCATAAAGTAATCCGGTACATACCAGCAGTGATTCAAGCTCCCTAGAAAGGAAGGTCTGAGTTATCAAACAGAGATAACTGCTCTCACTATCTCAACAGTTAGCTAAGAGCAAGGGGAATAAGGGATGAGTAAAGAGAAATGAAATTCCAACTATTACTTGGTGCCCAGTTTCAGAAGCAAAGATCAGTTGTCAACTGTTGTTAGAACCATGTGCCTCAAACTTTAATGCACTATCTCCTTTTGAGTTTCAAGGGATGACAGTCTAACATGTGACCTCACTGCTAAGGAGAAGAGGAGATCATCTGAGATGCAGAGATGAAGAACCTAATGCTTAACAGTACTCATCTTTAACAGAGATGGTGAGGTAGAGAAAAATTCTAATAATTTTCATCCTGTCTTCTTCCAAAAAGAATTTCAGAGGCCAGGGCCAGGTGTGGAGGTGCATGCCTGTAATTCCAACACTTGGAAGGCTGAGGCAGGAGGATCCTTGCAAGTTCAAGGCCAGCCTGGGCTACAAAGTAAGTTCAAAACCAGCCTGAACTTCATAGCAACATCCTGTCTCAAAAAGACCAAAAAACAAAACAAAGAGAATTTCAGAGACCAGGCATGGTGGCCCATGCCTATAATCCTAGCACTTGGGAGGCCAAGGCAGAAGGATCATCGCAAATTCAAGGCCAGCCTGGGCTACAAAGTGAGTTCAAGTCCAGCCAGAACTGCATAGTGAGACCCTGCCTCAAAAAGTGCCCAACCTCCCAAAACAAGAATTTCAGTAAACTATGGCTGGAATGTTTAAAAGATTCAACAGGCTGAATCAACTAGAAAGGGAAGCT